CAGTAGGCTCAGGCCAAAGCAAACCGCTGCAGACTCTCCTAGCTCGTATGTTCTTTCTTATTAATAATTTTTGTCATCTTGACCACACTCTGATGTTGCTTGGCTACAGTTTTCATCTGCAAAATTTTGGAGGTCATGGTATTGGATCATAGTGTTAACTTTGATAAGAAATAAGAACAAATTAATCAGAATAGCAAAATCTGTAGTACAAAATCCTAATGAAACTAAGGGGCATTGCAGACCGGCCTAAAGGGCCAGCCTGGGGATGGAGTTGGAGTGGGGCAGCCACACGCTGGCTGCCCCAACCCCACCCCGGCACCTTCCCAGCACCTTCCTGGCGCAGCGTGCAGATACATTGCACCGAAAGGATATAGAAGAGCCGTGGCACTGGCTCTTAGGGAGGCCTTTTGCTGCCCCTAAAAGGAGCAGCATTTTGCCACTCTTTTAGGGGCAGCAAAAGGGAGGATCGGGGCCATGGCGTGTGGTTAATGCAGCCCCGATCCACCTTAGCAGGGGCGGCCCAGAGCCACCCATCTGCATAGCCCCTAAGCTAATAAGGCAGAAATTAATTAGTATAAATTCAACACAACTGAGTTCTGTAAATATGAACAACTCTTTAAAATGACTTTATGTGTACTACTGCTCTCTAGAGGATGTTATCACAATAACATCTCAACAGTGTGGATGAGCTGCAGACATGTGCGAATATGAGACAGTTCATGCTTCAATCTGAACAGAAACGTTTACTTTTAAAAAGCTGGTGCAAATTTGGGTCACTGTGATGAAGAGACACTATGCCTTTATTTTTGGTGCTGGGTTTTCATGAAAATAAATGTTTACAGAATGAACTATGTTTGCAAACAAAAAGCTGCTGGCCTGAAATACAGGGAGATATGCAGACTCTATCCAGAGCATTTGTGGGTTATGGTTGTTGCTTTTGTAGCAACTGACTCAGAGCATGAGACAAGACACTTCAGCAGTCAAATTCAAGGCAAGAAATGGCACATAAAGGGTGAGGGGCTTTGAGTCAATGCTTAGAAAAGTGACTTTTTGAACTACAGCTCGCAAACTGATCCAATGGTCCTGCCGCCTGGGATGTTCAAAAATACAAAGGGATCTTATGGCACCTTTGAGACTAGGCGGGGCTGCCCTGGGAAGTGGTGGATCGGGGCTGCAGCTTCTCCATGCCACAGTCCCGATCCTCCCTTTTGACACCCTGAAAAGAGCAGCAAAATGCCGCTCTTTTCAGAGGCGGCAAAAGGGTGCCCTAAGAGCCGGCACATGGCTCTTCTTTGCCCTTTCTGGAGGGCTCCCTGATGCCACGTGCTGTGCATAATGGCGCATGGTGTCAGGATGTCGCCGGCATGGGTTTGTGGCAGCTGGCATGCAGCTGCTCCACCCCCATCTCTACCTCCAGGCAGGCCCTTTGGGCTGGTCTGCAGAGGCCCTAAGGCTGCATCTGCACTGCAGAAATAATCCAGTGTGGCACCAGTTTAACTGCCATGGCTCAGTGCTGTGAAATTCTGGGAAAGTAATTTGCTGTGGCACCTGAGCTCTCTGACAGAGATAGCTAAATATCTCACAAAACTACAATTCTCAAAAATCCATAGTATTGAACCATGGCAGTTAAAGTGGTGTCAAACTGGATTAATTCTGCATTGTAGATGAAACCTAAGTGAGGAAAATAAGTTTGTAGCATAAGCATCCACATACTCAGATTATCGCATTGACAAATGCTACCGCAATAGATTCGGAATTGTAAAGACGAAACTAGGTTTTATCACACATGCCGGCGGCCAGGCAAGTGCAACCCATCTACATCCTGGATCTCAGCCATGCTTATCTGGCTGATTTTAAAAAACTTGAGTCTTCCATTATTGAAAAGCTGTGGGATAAGTGCAGCTGAGGTCCAGGATGCACTTGCCCGGCTGCTGGTATGTGCGATAAAACCCGGCAACATTTGTCAATGAGATAATCTCCTTATTCTCCTTCATCAGATGTATCGTTCAAAAAATAATATTGCCAATCTCTGCTTTCCAAGAAAAATATTGTGACCTAACATATGGCCTCTGCGGACCGGCCCAAAGGGCCGGCCTGGGGGTAGAGTTGGGGCGGGGCAGCTGTACCTGAATGCATGTTAGGAGGAACTTGTGTACTTGGAGCAACCTCCAAGGTATGACTGTGCTGGTAACAACAAAATATACAGGTTGAAGAAGGCTCTGCATAGAGCAGGGGTCGGCAGTTTTTTTTGCCGGAGGCCGGGGGAGGAAATGGCGCTGGGGCCAGCACCCACCATTGTGCGCATACACACAACACGGGACGCATTTTGGAAGGCCCAACAGCGCTGGCACCGTGCGAATTCACACAGTGGCACCGCTGTTCGGCCTTCTGAAATGGTGCTCTGCATCACGCACGCATACACACAACATGGGGCTCCATTTTGGAAGGCCAACGGCACCGCCGCCGTGCGAATTCGTATGGCACCGGCGCCGTTGGGCCTTCTGAAATGGCGCCTTCTGAAATGGTGCTCCATTGGGCGTTCCAAAATGGTGCCTGCTGCAGTGCACATGCACACATGAGCGCAGGCGCCATTTTGGAGTACAAAATGGTGCCCACGCTTGCGCATGCATGCGCACGATGGCAGCCACCATTTTGGAACTCCCAACGGCGCCGGCATCGTGCACATGAGCACAGCGCGGGCACTGTTGGGCATTCTGAAATGGCTCTCTGCGATGCATGCGCATGCACACAACATGGGCTGCCATTTTGGAATGCCCAACGGTGCCCGCGCTGTGTGAATTCGCATGGCACCAACGCCATTGGGCCTTCCGAAATGGCACCTTCCAAAATAGTGCTCTGTTGGATGTTCCAAAATGGCGCCCACTGTCGTGCGCATGCGTGCACAAGCGCAGACGCCATTTTGGATGCCAAAATGGTGCCCGCGATCACGGGCGGCGTGGCGGTGGCAGGACCAGCCATGGGCCGGTCCCAAGACCTCTATGGGCCACACCCAGCCCACGGGCCATAAGTTGCCGACCCCTGGCATAGAGTAAAACAAAGAGCTAGGTGCTGAAACAGCTACATTCATGATGACCTTGTCAAACTTGGGTACCAACACAGCGTGGCTGATGCATGTATATATACCAAATATAGTGTTATTCTAGTGATCTGTGTTGATGATCTTTGTGTGGCTACAAACAGTTTGGATAAAATAAAACATATACAGTAAGAGTTAGCAAGAAAATTAAAACTGAAGGATTTGGGCAGTTTGAAAAATTACTTAAAAGTCAAAGTAGAGAAAACCCAGGATGGGGACATTCTGTTGTGTCAAAAGAAGAAGATTGACAGGATTATAGAAAAATGTGGATTGAACAATGCTAAGGTAGTCAAAAGTCCCATGACACTTGAGTTTGACAGTTTAGAGTTGGATAAATTCCATTCAGTGCTCTGCAGTCTTTTGTTCATTACAAGCAACACTAGGCCTGACATAAGCTTTGCAGTGGGGTTGTTGAGTAGAAGAGCCTCAAAACCTAGGTTAGTAGATTAAACTGCTATGAAGCGTGTGGTGTGATATCTCAAGAGAACAAGGGACAGATGTCTGGTGATGACTGGAGGCGTAAAGCTAGAGTGCTATACAGACAGCTCCTTTACATTAGAGACAGAAGACAAAAAGTCAGTTTCTAGTTTGGTCATCAGGTTTGCTGACAGTCTTATTGCATAGAGATCCAGAAACAGTTGTGTAGCTTTAAATATCACAAAAACTGAATTCGCTGCACTTTCAAAAATGGCTAGCGAAGTTTGGTCGGTCAGATAACTATTGGGAGATCTTGATAAACCATACCATACACCAATAGTTATCAATGAAGACTCACAGACATGCATTGCAATAGCTGAAACAAAAATCTAAAAAGCAGGACGAAATACATTGGAGTAACATATCAAAATATACATAAGTTAATACAGGATAAAATCATAAAACTGCAGTACTGCATTTCAGAAAAAAATATTACAGATTTATTCACAAAGACATAACCTATAGAAAGTCACAAAAGACTAACAGATAGGCTGGGCCTTGGGATAAAAAATTATACTCAGTGAAAACACTTGGGACTGTATGATTAAAATATATATTCTGATGTAGTTTGTTTATCATACACGGCAACTAAGGGGCTATACAGAATGCCCTTTCCTTGCCAGGTCGGGGCCACGTCAACCACACGCCACATCCCCAATCTGGCCTTTTTGCGGCACAAAAAGAAGCTTTTCGCCACTTCTTCAGCACAGCACATGTAAACGCTGCGCCGAACACTCACTTTTTTGCCGCACACCATAATAATAATAATAATAATAATAATAATAATAATAATAATATCCCTGCGGTTACTTTGGCGGCATTATGGCAGCATCGGGACGGAGTCGAGGCAGCTGGCGTGCGGTTGCCCTGCTCAAACTCCACCCCCAAGCCAGCTCTTTTGGCCGGTCTGTACAGGCCCTAAGACATTTTAGAAGAGATTGCCAGTGAGAATTTGCCTCAGACTGTAAAATGTCTCAGGTGCATGTAATGGGTTAAAGAGGAAATGCTGACTCAGAGGAAGCTGATGCAACTTGAGCATGAAGATGAGTCACAGCAGGTCCAAACTGCACTGTCACTGTGGACACATGACAGGAAGATGATGAAACACTAGCAGGGGATTGGATCAGAATCCCAGCTAGAGTTTGTGTATATAAGGAGGAATGTTCCAGTACACCATGTGGTGGTGTGGATGTTGGTTGATGGCAGAGCATTATGCCGGTTGGTGTAAATATTGCTGTATTGTGCTTGTAAATACTTTGCTACAATTAAGATTTAAAAGCCTCTTCAGAAGAATTCAGCAGTCATGAGTGATTTTCCAGACTTGACAGTGGTCTCTGTTTCTTACTGGCAACCTTCAGCGTATCAACTCAATTTTTCCTCTGCACTAACAAGTGTGACTTGCTCAAAGTCACCCAGTGGGTTTCCATGACCAAGTGGAGATTCAAACCCCAGTCTCCGAAGTCATAGTCCAGTGCTCAAACCACTACACCACATTGGCTCTCATCACACTATTTGTTATTTTTGGCTGCCCTCAAGTCAGTTTCGACTCATGGAGATCCTGTGGGTGAGAGTCCCTACCGTCCACTGCCTTGCCCAGATCCTGCAAACCCTTCTCCATAATCCCCCTGATCAAGTTTATTTATCTGGTTTGTGGTTTTCCTCTCTTTCTTCTACCCTCTATCTTTCCTAGCACAGAGTCGCCCCGGGAAGAGGCGGATCGGGGCCACGGCAACGCCACGCTGCAGCCTCGATCCTCCCTTTTGCTGCCTAGAAAAGAGTGGCCGCACGGCATCAGGACGGCATCAGCTGGGGTTGGGACAGCCGGCGTGTGGCTGCCTCACCCCAATTCTACCCTCAGGCTAGCCCTTTGGGCCAGTCTGCAACGGCCCTTTGCTTCCAAGGTGAGCCCTGGTCTGATCTGTTCAAGAAACCATTTGTTTGTCTTCTTGGCTGTCCATGGTATCCTAGGACTCTTCTTCAGCACTGCATTTCAAATGAGTTGATATTCTGTCTGCTTCCTTCACTGTCCAGCTCTCGCATCCATACATGGTAATTTGGAATAGAATGGCCTGGACGATTCTGACTTTAGTGCTCAGTTGTATGTCTTTGCTGTCCAGTCTCTCTTCCAGTTCTTTCACAGCTGCCATTCCCATTCCTAGTCTTCTTCTTAT